ACCATTTGTTAAAAAGGCTGTCCTTTCCCCACTTAACTGATTTCATCTCCTTGTCAAAAATCAGCTGACCATACGTAGATGGGCTGATTTCTGGGTTCTCAATTCTATTCCATTGATCTATGTGTCCGTCATTGTACCAGTATCATGCTGTCTTAATCAACACGGCAGTGTAGTAGGATTTGAACTCAGGGAGTGAGATGTCTCCTACCTTTTTTCTATTTTTAAGGAGTGCTTTGCTTATTAGGGGCTTCTTTCTATTCCAAATGAAACTGGAAATTACCTTTTCCATCTCCTTGAAGAATGGGATTGGTATTTTTATTGGGACTGCATTGAACATGTAAATTGCCTTTGGTAGTATTGCCATTTTCACAATATTGAGTCTTCCTATTCATGAGCAAGGGATATTCTTCCACTTCTCCAGGTCTCTCTTTGTTTCTTGTAGTAATGTTTTGTAATTTTCTTTGAATAGACCCTTTGTGTTTCTGATTTACTCCCAAGTATTTAATCTTGTGATTAGCTATTGTGAAGGGTATTGCTTTTCTTAGCTCCAGCTCTGTATTCTCTTTGTCACTGTAGAGAAGCCCAACTGATTTTTGTATGTTGATCTTGTATCCTGCTACTTTGCTGAATTGGTCAACTACATCCAATAGTTTTCTTGCTGAGTCTTTAGGGTTTTCTAGGTATACTATCGTATCATCTGCATAGAGAGATAATTTTACCTCCTCTTTGCCAATTTGGATACCTCTTATTTCCTTCTCTTGTCTTATTGCTCTCGCTAAGACTTCCAATACAATAATGAATAAGAGAGGAGATAATGGGCATCCTGGCCTAGTTCCTGTTCTTAAAGGGAATGCCTTTAACCTCTCTCCATTGAGAATGATGTTGGCTCTCGGGTTTGCATAAATACTTTTTACTATGTTGAAGAAATTCCCCTCTATTCCTATTTTGTTGAGTGTTTTAATCAGGAAAGGGTGTTGGATTTTGTCAAAGGCCTTTTCTGCATCAATTATAGGATCATGTGGTTCTTTTTCTTTGCTTTGTAAATGTGATGAATTACATTGACTGTTTTCCTTATGTTGAGACATCCTTGCATATCTGTTATAAATCCCACTTGGTCAATGCTGGTGAGGTTGTGGAGAAACTGGAACCCGTATTCACTGTTGGTGGGAGTGTAAAATGGTGCAACCACTGTGGAAGGTAGTATGGGGCTTTCTCAAAAAGTTGCAAGCAGAGATACCATTTGACCCAGCAATTCCAATACTGGGAATATATCCCAAAGAGTCTGTAACTGACATCCAAGCAGATATAGGCACACCCGTTTATCGTGGCTTTGTTCACAACAGCAAGGAGTTGGAAACAACCCAGGTGCCCATCAACAAACAAATGGATAGAGAAGCTGTGGTATATTCACACAACGGAATACTACGCTGCATTGAAAAACAAGGAACTCATGCAATATTATTCAAAATGGGTGAGCCTGGAGGACATTATGTTGAGTGAAGTATCTCAGTCACAAAAGGACAAATACTGCATGGTGCCACTGCTGTAAAATGGGACTGATATCAGGGTTGGGGTAAGACTGAGAAAAACTGGATAAATTGTATATACTGCACTGAAACAGATAAGGG